GGCCGTGCGCAAGTGCGGCGGCGGGAGGGAGCGCGCTCCGCCCGGCCGCGGCGCGCGGCGGCCACTTCGCCACGACCCCTAAGGCCGGAGGGGGCAGGGCCGGAGCGCCGCGCTCCGCGTCGGGACTTACCGGCCGCGGCCGCAGCCCCGCAAACTTTCCCTGGGAAATACGTGCGTTTCCTACAGTGAGCCGCGGGAGCGTGCGGACCAGGTTACATAATTTTTAGGCCTCATCGCCAGGTCCTGTTCTCCCTGCACCCACCCCGACCTTGGGGCGTACTGACATTCGGACGGGGCCGGCCGCGACCCCCGCGCGCGGAAACTGCGGCGGCGGCGGCGCGTGCTCGCCGAGACTCCGAGTCTCCCGTTTGAGCAAGGCTTTTTTTTAACCTTCAAAAATATCTTAAAGGAGAATCACATTTGAGACACTTGAGGGGACGCGAGGGAAACATTTTTATTCGACATTTAAGTATCTTTAGTAAACGTCTGTGACTGTAAAAATGCGACAGCTGGGTCCCCAGCCAGGAGCGGCGGCCTGCTCGCGCCGCGCAGCGACCGTGCGGCGCCTGAGCCCCAGGCAGGCTGGCTGAGGCATCGCCCGGCTCCCCGCGACGAGGGCGGGCAGTTCACGCTGGGCTGCGCCTACAGCTAAAGTTCCTTTACGGCTTTCTCGCGGAGAACGTGCTAATCGAGCCCCAAAGTGCGAGCGGAAGGCTCCGGAAGGCCGGCTCCCTTAACCCAAGGTGCCACAAGAAGGGAGCGGGCGGGCTTGCTCCCGCCGGCCGCGCCGCGCAGCGTGCTGCTTCCCGCGAGCGCCGCGGCGGCTGTCCAGCCCCGCGCGGGACGCGCACCTCGCCTGTCCCGCGGGCCCGGAGCAGCCGGTAGTGGCCGTTTCCCCGCGCCGCCCCCTCCCCGCCGGCTTTGTGTGTGTGTGTGAAATGTGCGGCACATTGCAGAGGAGCCCTAAGCCCGGCGAGCCGAGCCTATTGTTCCCCGCGAGGAGCCGCCGCGGCGGCGCGGAGCCAGGCGCAGTGCCACGGCCGGCCCTCGGGGGGCGCTGTGGG